TGAATATTTTGTGCTTTCCTTGGATGCTCTATTGTGAAAGTACTTTTTGAAATACTAAATTCAGTTTGCGGCCGATTTGATGCTTTGCATCAATTTTACTTGTTTCATAAATGTTTTACGTTCGTTTGAGTGAAACGAATAAGAACATAAATTGTATTATTGATACGTACATGAACATCATTGTATGTTTCATTGATGGAATTGCCACTGCTCAAGAAATCCATACAGGTGGCTTGCTTAGCGGTGTAAAAATAATAGTATTGACAAGTTACTGTCCTTCAATAAGGACTGCAATACATGGACCATAGGCCTGTGTTTCTAACAGAAATCTAAAAGGGGTTCTGGGTTGTAATGAAATATGTGTTATAAATAAATATTTCTTTTATCTTGAAACATGTAAATTTTTCATTATAATTTAACGTTATAATCTAATTATTAATAAAACTGTAATAGTGAATGATAGAAGAATGTCCAGGATATCAATAATTGATCAAGACATATATTGTTTACTTAATCTAGTTTTGACCTTTAAATGGGGTCATTCATTTATCACAAAAATACCTCACATGCGAACTGTTTTGCTCGAGCTCAGATTTTAAAATATTGTCCAGGTTTTACTAGTGAATTTCTCCTTGAAAGAGAAAATATCTCTGTTGAAGATTATATGATGCCAGGCCTATAGGACCTGGGGATGGGGGAGGGGGGGCACTCCCTCCTTCCCAGTAATTTTGCCAGTATATACTTTAATTACTATAGAAAACGAGGGTAATTTACAGGTGTGCCCCTCAATATATTTTTAACAGCATACATGTAAACTATACATTACATTTAGAAAGCTAAGCTCATTTTCGATCGTACTCCCTCAAGAAACGTCAGATGACCTTTTTTTCCTTGTAACAAATATATGTCAGATCCTCATCCTCCCTTTCCAAACTGAAATTGCGTTCTAACCTGCATGCACAAAACTGATGCCGGTGAAATTTGTCTAATCTTTTAAAGCCTAATCGTTGAATTAAGTTTTTAATTCAAGATGTAGAGCTATCTAAATTCTTCATCCTTTTTAAAATGCTTTACCAAAGAAACCCCAAATTTATTAATTTTACAATCCATATACATAAATATTATAGTAAAATATCTTTTATTTAATTATAAGGATATATGTATAAAAGATCGAGTAGATTCGGATCTTGGATACGCTAATGAATTAATAAATACGATGCAGAGATTTTAAGCTAGGTTTGCCAATGATTGGCGAGTTCTAATTCGAATACAGCGAATTGTCTTAAAGGCAAGTTGTCTTAGGGACGAACTTGCTAGCATTTTGACGCATGCGTAATTTGACGTAAGCCCATCGCATCTGGTTTTACCTCGCTGATATACTTTCTGCGTGGACCCCAGAGTCCATGCAATAAACGACCGTGGTGTTCATAAGTAAAGGAGATAATACCATAATGCCATACGTTAGTCCTTTCATTTTTTTTTCAACCAAAAACTTTTATTTTCACTGTGTAATAGTACTACCCAATTCGGTCGTGCATTATCTTAAACACTTTCTCTGCCATCTTTAATTTTTTTGTTTAGCCATTTAGATCTTGTTTTTTTTTTTTGTTGTGTGTCACTGTTGTTCTTCTTTATATATAAGTACATTATGTTCTTCTTTGAATCTTTCTTTTTTAGTGATTTTTAATTATCACATCCTTTTTTTGTAGGTACAATAATACATATTTCACCAATGCACTTAATTTATTTCCTATGATAAAATAGCAGAGTGTCGCCTGAAGTATATTCATTTCAAAAATTCATAAAACTTTAAAACCTCAATATATTCTTTCTCTACAAGGATGATCGATGCCGTAGATACGAATCCACTCAACAATTATAAGTGCGTGTTAGATTATTTCCGCGTAATTTATAACAGAGATTGGAAAGGATAAATCTATTTTAATGTATATTTGTAGAAATTTAAGTGTCTATGAGTCAGAATTTTGATGAAAATCGGTCAATCAATATTAATCTTGATCTGTAAATCATCAGTACCAGATTCAGCTGACCACCCCAGGCACAGCAAAGAAGTCTGAAAAACAGTGAATATTTAGAAATTATCAAAGTCTAAGATGACTTAGGTGAAAATAAAACTTAAGACTGGTCTGTAATTCTTCGATATAAAGAGATATACCAAAAATCAGCTCCTAATATACAAACATAGCAAAACAGTGTGATATATTAACTAAGGTGGAAAGACAGAATGACGGACAGAAAGATGGAAAACTATATAACCCGATCATATAATTGCTGGGCGTCATTGTTTCCAAGTATTAGTAATGTTTTTCATATTGACCAATGTTGATAGACTGTATCACTTAAGAATAAATACTTTTCTGCGAATTTATTGTTTTGAAATAACGTGAAAATATTACATTAATTTGACAAAATTTGCATCAATTTCTTTTTCCACCAAGGGAAACATACTAAATACGAATGATTTATGTAGATGTTTAATATTAAATCCAAGATCATAATGCTCATCATGCAGATTCTACATTTATTCTTTAAAAATGAATTTTGAAACAAAAAAAAATATAGGAGAAAGAGTGACAGCAAATTTTTGATCCCCTGGTACTAAGATCGAAATCCTTCAAGCTAATCTACACGACAAAGCTAGATGTAGAATACAAATATATCTGATTTTTTAAGCTTCCTTCTACACATCAAGGATTCACTATAATATTAAAATCCAAATTGTTGAGGGGCCTATACCAGAACAAGCTTTTGATACTTGTGTGAGCTCCATAGGAAAATGTACATATTTTGGTGACCAGAGTCACCTAGATGACCATTTGTTGTCCGTTTTTATTATGTCACTACACAGTTTGCGTTAACTTATGAACATTTTCACTTCTTGTTTGTACATGTTTTATTATTATAATTGTCACCTGTAGTTTAAAGTCGTCAAAATTTTTATCCATGCCATATCTCAAAGACGTAAAAGGATAAAATGACGAACATTGATCAATCTCATAAATCCAGTAAACAAAACGAATCGTGAACAGGGCAAAATACCAGAGGTGGGATCAGGTGCCTACGAGGAGTAAGCATCCCCTGACGACCGGTCATATCCGCTGTGAACACCTATGCATTAATCAAGTAGACGGAGTACTCCGTAGACAATTTTAGTATAAAAGCAATGACCTAAAAAGTGTATGTAACATGTCAGACAAGATGATAGACAATTAAGATCATTATAGTGACTATAGAATTTGCGTAAAGTTGACTTTTCAAGGAGAAGTTCCTAATTAGAGTAAATTAATGATTTAGCTTTAGAAACTGAAAAACGGTACATAAATTAGAGTTCCTTTTAAAATTAATAAAATTTGTATATTTATGTTTTTGATCGACGAGGATTTTACTATGGTAGTACTATGGCGCTGATATTTTAATTGTGGTAATAAGGAATTTAACTAACTGTGTAGGGACCGTCACGTCAAACACTCCTCGTAGATCCCTGATCATTAGTTTATCAAGGGTCAATGTTGATGTAAAAAGCAGAAGCTACCCATTTTTTATTAAATAAAAATCTAGCACTGTACTTTGTAATGGGAATTTATATATATTCAGGATTACATACATGTATCAAACATGAGATGTCTATATACTATTTCTACTATTTCACGGGAAAATATATATACATAAATGTATATTTTACTTTTTTAATCAGAAGCTGAAAAATATGCAAAAGAAGTAAATAAAACAGCTTATATAATAAAAAACATTGTTATAACTTTCCTGTAAAAAGATCTCAAGATTGCTTTATCTGATATACTTAAATGACATGGGTTCTAAGTATTGTCATGGGAGTTGAGGACTCTTCCTCATGTATCTCGGTAATATATGCTTTTAAAACAATTACAAACACTAAGGATGTACTTAGCTGCATGGATGATGTCGTTTAACGATATTGTGAAAGTATGAAGTAGATGTAACACAAGCACGTTTAACTCTTTTCTCTATATACATGTATATGTATATTTCATTATAGATATACAAAAATATTTGGGGGAAATATCTCTGCAGAGATTAGAGAAAAATAATAGTGAATGTATTCACCAGATACTGTCAAAATAAAGAATGTCAGCACATATTCTAAAAGTGTCTGTCTTTAAAATTATTTTCCTTTGTCCCTGGGTAACAAGTGAAGAAGCTTATCATATTTCATAAGATGAATTTATTTCTACTTCAAATGTAAGAGGAGCTTGAGGAAGAAGACTTTTGTAGAAAAACGTTGTTTTTCAACTCCCAAGGGCATCTGGGTTGAAATTTTTTAAGACATTATCGCAAATTTACAGAACAACACTATAAGAAGAGTTCTGGAAATCATATTTTGGCGGGAAAACATTGTTTTTCGACCCCTCTCTCCCCTTCGGGTAAAAATTAAAATTCCTAAACTTTGTTACAATTTATAAGACAATACCTCAAAAGATGAATTGGCTTCTGTTTAAAATGTAAGAGTAGGAGGAGAAGATTCTCATCCCCAACTGGCCCCCTAGGATAAAATTTAAAACTTAATTGCACATCTACAGAACACCACCTATCATATTCAATTATATTGCCTAGTGCTTTAAATTCAAGAGGAGTTTCAGGAAGATTTTTATTGTAAAGGCACATCTACAGAACACAACCGTATTCCAGAAGATGAATCAGCTACTGCCTTTAAATATGTAAGAGAAGCTTTAGAAGGAAGATAGTGTGACAGACGGACCAGGATAACAACAATATACCCGAACTTTCTTTAGAAAAAGGTATCATTATCTCAATAGGTTCAATTGCCTAAGATTGCAGGAATATAAAACCTCATCAATATCTTTCCAGTATGATTTTCCAGTATGATTTTAAAGAATCCTCTTCGCAGTCTGATAAAATCTAAGAACAAAATTAACAAAAATAAATCATGAAAACATTGACAGTGATATGATATTAAAATGAAAACAAGTAAATAAATCACATATATTGAAGATCTTGGCACATTCAATACAAATATCAACATAAACAAATTAAAAATGATTTTGACGTACAAATTATATGTATACAGCAAGTTTTTTTTTTTTAAGTAAATATCTCTCGAGTAGGGTTTAATTTCCCCGAACAACATCGACAACGGACTTTAGCAAGTTGTCTTTCCTAGCTTTACGGTATCCAATTTTCTAGAAAAAAAAATCAATTATATTATCAAAGCAAAAGCAATTTCTCAATTTACTGGTTGAGAAATGGGTACACATGTGTAGTCTACAATCAACTTGTAATATCTTTGTATAGGTCTATGACATTAAACCGGCGTTTGGTGGCAAAGGCAGCATTGGAAAACGTGATGCCATCATATTCTATTAGCCCTGCTGAACCATGTAAATGACCAAATAGATGAATCTTTGGTCTGCAATGAAAGAAAATACGCAAAGATATGGTTTTAATAAACACACACACACATACACACACACACACATTACAATCATTCTTAAATAGTCGCTTGAACATTGAGAGCAAAGCAGAGTATGCACATATACTGTGGCCAACAATTTTACATTTCCTGACTTAAAATTGTTATTTCGTTGAACTAAAAAGTTTTCATTCTGAAAGAAGCGAATGGACTTAGAAATATGTACTTTTGTACACTTTAAATGCAATTAATGTAATTCTATTGAATTGTCTACGGATTCTTCTGTTTCCCCGATCATGACAAGGAGCACAGACGGGTTTTACTGGTCGACAGGTGATGCTTACTTCTCTAGGGCACCTGATCCCACCTCTGTTTTCAGAGGTATGTGTTGACTCTGCTCATGTTTTGTTTAATAGACTTGGTCACTGTTCATTATCTTCACACTTCAGGAAGTAGTACATAGTTTTTTAGGACATGGGGTTATATTAGATTGACCAGTTCATCGCATGTACTTATTCGCTGCTCAAGAGCTTGCTCTGAGTACGATCAGTTTTCAAAGCGATGCAGGCTTCTCATTGATAAGTTGATGTTACAGAGATTTCAACAGCCTCGTTTTAAGTCAGCATTTCGTAAATTTTATGGTCGTTATAATAATGACCTTGTTAGCAAATATAATCTATCATTGGATCATATTTTGGCTGACTTGTTTCATACCAATTGTTACTAGGCCTTTGGTTTTGTACAGATTATCAATACATAGGGCTCACGGCGGGTGTGACCGGTCAACAGGCGATGCTTACTCCATCTAAGCACCTGATCCCACCTCTGGAATTTCCTTGTTTTATGCCCTCTTCACATATTTGTATTGTTTGTGGAATTTTTGAGATCGATCACTGTTCGATCGATCACTGTTCGTTATCTTTACATGTAGAGTCTTTAAGTGTGGAGAATGTCAATCGTCTATACGAAACAGTAATGTAAATAGCAGGTACCTGATGTTTCGCAAAAGAGTTTTTCTAAGATTATAGCATCCAGCATGACCCACTTTAGGGTGAACTTTATCGCAGAACTGACACACATCTTTTGCAGGCCTGTCTCCTCGAAGACGGGAATAATCTAGCATCCCGTATGGAGGGGTGTGAGTTATCAAAACATCTGTGTCTTCCTCTATAGCATTCCATCGGTCTTGTAGAGCAGCCGAATCTGTCGTGAAGGCTTTGGATGTTTTGATTTTGCTAGAAGCAATTGTCCATGGACTTCCATAAAACTTCACGTCATCAAAAATAACAGATGAATCTTGTAAGTACGTCAAATCGGGTAGAGTACGTTGAATTTCTTCCGCTGAGAATTTTGTTAAAAAAGTATCATGGTTTCCTGCCACAAATATTTTATACGTGTGAGGCAGTTGTTTGAAAAATGCATTAACTTTCTGCAACATCTCTAAATCGCGATAATCATCAAAAAAGAAATTCATGAACCTTCGTTTGCCGAAGTCACCAGAATGGATGATGACGTCACCGTCTGGGATGCTCTGGACAATGTTGTCGTGTTCCATATGTGTGTCAGAGATGTGAACAATGCGGAGCTTTTTACGACTACAGCCTTTATCTCCAGCCTCTGTAAACATGTGAGAAATTCCGTCCATCATCTCGATCTGTTTACGTGTACGCTAAAATCAAGTATGAAATTCAATTATTACCATGAAAAATGATTTTTTTTTTCAATTATTTGGGAGATTAATTTTTAAAAAATCGAATTTTTAACATCCATGTCCTTTTTCATTTAGATCTCGATCTGATTGATTTTTTTTTTGTTAGCTAATAAACAACGAAATTGCTATAATTTTAATGCTGATAACTACATCAGTACAATAAAGAAAAAATAATATACAGTAAAACAAGCCTATAATCAAAACGCTTGTAATGAGTTGAAGCTTATAATGAAGTGAATTTTATTCTCCGTGGCTTTAGAATATACTGCATGTGAACTTAATTAACGGACATAGCAAATTACTTTTATAACGAAACAAAATCGTCCGCCACTGGCACTTCGTTGTAAGTGTGTTTTACTGTATTATTCTAGTGTGTATAATAAATACATTCTGAAAGAATTAAAACATTTAATTTGCATTTTTATTTTGTTTTAAAACACGGATTATGCCAACCTTCAAGATAACATATGTCAACATAACTATGTTGACATGCAATATTTATTTTGCAAAACTTGAGTTTGGTTTGTGAAAATGTCTGTTCTTTGACATGGTCGATAAAGACACTTCAGAGCTGCCGTACAGGAGTCAAATTTTGCATTACGAAATATGGAATTTAAATTTATGTACTGTACGAGATACGTATACACTTTATTGTAAACCTTGAAATTTGAACGGCAATGTGTGAAACTTATTTACATTTTCTGTGCAAAGTAATCAGTATATTTGATCGAGAAAAAGAGAGAAGCACATTTAATATAAATAAAATTAATGTAATTCTTTTAACTTTTAATGTATAATAATGTTAAAAAATATTTAATTATTATTATTATTATCTTTTTTTTTTTTTAATTATTTTTTTTTTTTTTATTTTACAAAATTTCCTTAAAATCTTTTCCAAGACATACCTTTCGTATGTGTATCCTGAGTAAATTTAGACATGACTGTACAATACGGAACGCAGGCCCGGTTTAAATTGTAGTATTCGAGCCCCTCTACCTACGTTATATGAATACATGTAGTAAATGGTGGGCATTAAGTATATCTTTAAAAAAGTTTTCTTGTCCTCCCCTGACTCAGGATAAAACATTGGGTAGTAAAGTAGGGACCCACCCCCTCCCAAATTAAACATGTTAAAATAGTTATAATTGTTGATGAGATTATAATAAAAGGAAATCCTATAATATTGGTTTCAAGTAATAAAAAAAATACGCCCCTCTATCTCGTTATTACGGGAAAAGATCTCAGCAAAAATGGCTTATGGGAGCCACTCTCTTTGAAACTAAATATGATATGTACAGGAGAAATAACAGAACCATTTTCTTTAGGTGACTCAGCTGGATACAAAACTTGTTTATCTGTCAATGGACTACATGTGTAATGTACATAATACATGTATATACTCCTTGTGCTATTACATATACATGTATAAGAATAGTTCACTTTATAGTTCATTTTATTGCATAAATACTTTATTAATTTCTGTATTAAACAATACACAATATGAAAATTATGACTATATCATATACACTTGTAAATTATATTTAGTGTCAACATACAAATAATTAAAATCCTCTGATAAAAAAGCATTACATTTACAACTACAAAATCATGCCCTGTTCACAGGATAGTTTAATTCGAATTAAACGTAAGTTACTGCGAATTAAATTTGAACCGCGTTCACACGGAGGATTTAATGCGAATTAGTTTAATTCGAATTAGTTTACTGCGCATTTAATTACTTCGCATTACCTCCGTGTGAACGCTAAGCGAAGCTAATTCGAATAAATTCTGACGCATGCGTATATGGAGGGTAATCGTGTTAAAAAATCCAGATTTGTAAGTTTGTATATCCAAACTTGTAAGTTTGTAAATCCAAACTTGTAATCGTATCAGTTTTATAGTCTACATATGTAAGTAGGTAATTCTGACATCCTAGCATGTAGTTCCGAACATACAACTGTGTTGACTTTGAGTTTATACTATGAATGTGTGTTTGGATTTACAAACTTATTAGTCTGGATTTTTTAACACGATTACCCTCCATATGCGTAAGGGCAGAATAAAGTCACATGCCACATGTCAGTGGTCAGATATAGTATCTTGTCCTATTTTTGAGTGAAAAACAAAGGAAAACTATATTAATCACTAAAATGTGTACAAACACTATGACATTATTATGTCAAATGTATCTGCTCTGAACTCTCCGTGTGAACAGGACATTATAAGTCATAATAAACCCCCACAAAAACAACATAAAAACAGTCTTATCAATATTTAATTAGAACATAAATTTGCTAGAAGATAAATCTTTTCGGACACAGAACAAGAAATAACCATGAATACAGTAAACACAATCAACAGTAGAAATATTCCTACATGTATATATGATTTTTTTCTTTCCATATACGACAGCCAACTGCTTACTGCCAACTGCAATTGATAGAAATTAATCATGGAATTCCAGATACGACAGCCAACTGCTTACTGCCGACTGCTAGCTGCCAACTGCCACTGCTCATAGATATGATATTGCCTGTTTTGTTATCTTTAATATCTTTAATATGCATGCTTGAATATATCCCATGATTGCAAGAAAAGAACGGCGAATGATAGTATTGTTCTGCCAACAAACCCCAAGTCAATTTGAATGGGTTTTTTTTTTATATTTATATAGATATTTATGTGAATTTTCATAAAAACAATTTTTGGGAAAACAGTAAGAGATAAGTTTTTAATTTGATAAAACTTTTCACCATAGAAATCAAAGGAAAATGGACCCCACCCCCACCCCTTGAAACACCAATTCCTTTTTACAGGTACATGTATTATGAATTGTTATTTCACATATTCATGCCAAAGGTTTTGTTATTTCACGGGGGGGGGGGGGGCATATGTTTACAGACTAAAAACAGGAAAACAGTCATTTTGTTACCAATTTCAAATAAGATAAATAATTTAAAAAAAAAAATTACTTTATTGTATTCTAAAAAATTTCATTTGTATTGTATAAATGTTCATTTGTATTGTATAATTTTTATTTGTATTCTATAATCTTCATATGTATTGTATAATTTTCCATTTGTATTCTATAATTTTCGATTTGTATTCTATAAATTTTCATTTGTATTGTATAATTTTACAATACAAATGGAAAAGCATACAATACAAATTGAAAATTATACAATACAAATGAAAAATTATACAATACAAATGGAAAATTATACAAAACAAATAAAAATTATACAATACAAATGAAGAATTATTGAATACAAATACAAAATTTACAATACAAATGAAAAATATAGAATACAAATAAAAATTTTACAATGCAAATGAAAAAATTATAGAATACAAATGGAAAATTTTACAATATAAATGGAAAATTTTATAATACAAATGACAAATATACAATACAAATGGAAAAGATCGAATATTGCAACGTTTGACATGCCATAGAAGATGTCCTAACTTTTTAAGTACAAAGTTATAACCTGTATATAATTTTCCCCTAAAATTCTAAAAAGCGGCAGACAGAAAATAATTGAGAACTTGAGCAAAAACGAAAGTGTCTGTTCAAATTCGAAAAAGTTGATGATGCTTAGTAAGGTCTTTTAACAAAAATTCATATGCTAAATTATAGCAGGACACTGAAAAAAGATTTTTCACCTGGTGTTTGATCATCTACTTTATAATTTGTTTCATTTATCGTTACCCCCCCCCCCTTTATACATATGTGTATATGTCCCATAAGTAAGTTGTAATTATATTTTTTTTTCATTGAAAAATGCCTATTTTGAAAAAAAAATTGAAATGTTATTTGTAGCTCATTTTTGGTTAGAAATTTTTACCTTAATGATGTCATTGAGTTAATGATGAAATTATTCTCAATGTTCAGTGTATCATTTTCGCTAGCATCTTAGGAAAAAGAAAATTAGAAAAATTCAGGAAAATTCAGTGAAAAAAAATACAAATGGACTACAACTGACATCAGAATAAGTTTGTATAAAAATTTGTTTTTCAATAAAATATTGAAAAAAAAAAAATGATTATGACTCACTCATGTCTACAAACAACATTATAAATATAAAAAATAACACAGGGGCTCGTCACGATTAATTTGTCTTCTTTCTATTTGACCACCCCTATACTGGGGTGAATCTATTCTCTTTAGAGAAGTGGACAGGCTTTCGCCTACATGGTTGTAGGCAAAAGCCTGTCCACTTCTCTAAAGAGAATAGGGTGAATCGAGACGAGCCCTGGGCTGTGATATTAACCCATTATATGCGCCTTCCGGGACTTAAATAAAATTTTTTTTTCTTTTATCACTATAGAAAATAACATGATTAGCAAATAAAGCAACAGAAACAAAACGTATTTGGCTTTAAAGTTATTATTTTGTCAAGATATGGTTCATCAGGTCATTCAGGACATTCCAACATTTAGTCCTACCGTGCATAATTAGGCTAGTGAAACCGAAACCAAAGCCTTTGAAAGGTGCACAGTGAAAAAAAAAACCCTCATCAACATGATCAACATGAATTTTCTTTACCTGTTTTTGATATTCTTTTTGTTTGCAGACAGAGGTATGTAGAATATAGGTCTAAATATTAATATAATGCAAATCGGATTACTACCAGCTCTTATTTTCATTTCATTATTAATTCAGGAGTAAAAATAGATATTTTCACATAAGCAGGACAAAATGCAGGAAAAAAAGATTGAGATAAATTGAAACCTGACACATTATCTTAGCAGTATGTATGTAATAAAATTTTATATACGTCTTTAATATATAAATGTATATTATATATCATGTATATATGAATGGTACGAAAACATCTCGGGGGTAAATCATGAAGGCATTTTTTTTTTACTACTGGGGACATCATGGTCATATTATGTATTGTTAGGTTCTTGAAGCATAAAATAGGTGTTGGTGAACAGTTCCACTGTAAATTACTGTAAACATTATGATAAGAAAATATGTGACAAAATACAGTACTGTCAATTTGGCAAGTTGAGCTACCTGAAAAAAAAATTGATGCTGCATCTGTACATAAATATATACCACTGTACTTGTGAATTTAACCTTTTAACGCACTTTTTCATGCAGCAATAACCCTCTGTTTCCTTTTAATAAAATTCATATTTTTAAAGTTATTTTTGGTAGGATCCTTTTGTGAATCGCGACTTTCGGAGATAACTGTGTGTGTGTTTCGGAGATAACTGTGAAGCAACGCTAAAGGAAGATAGTTGCTACGAAACATACATCTTATCTATTTCAGTATACTTCGTGTTACACTGTACTTATATTCTGTGCGTGAATAAATAATCTAATTTCCTAATAAGAAGTTAACAAAATTTTGTTAGACGTAGAGCGTATTTACTACGAAAGAAAATAACGAACCCGATTTTTAAATGAACGTACGGTATAACCCAGAAATGCTACCAAGGAATTCGGAATGCAAAATCATTGTCATCCAGGTGTGTGTAAAAAGCAAGTGTTCAATTTATTGTGTTATTTATAAATTAATGTAAACTAAATAAATATGAACATTTGTATGAGAAAAATTCACTTGCCCGATCGGACAAGTACGTCGACAATTTCACTTGCCCGAACTGAGAATTTACTTCTCCCGGGCAATCGGACAACCGTTAATGTCGATCCCTGAGACAATCAAGAGCCATAGTGTCTGTCCAAACTGTAGTTTATATCATGTTTATATAAGGTCGTGTGTAAAATTTTTAATTTAACTTAATCCAATATTACTTCTAGAATTATTAATAGTTCAATAAATTCATTTTCTGGGGATGTGTCTGCATGTTTACTGTTAAGTAAAAAGGAACCTGATACAGGTCCATCAGACTTATTTTCTCAAAACCTGCGGAGTACTAAATAATATTAGCCCTTTCACGATAACTGCGGTACTACTCTTTTGCAGGGCAAATTAATAACGTTTGGCGATGTTTTTGTTGACAGATAATTAAATGACATATATTTAACAATTACTTTTACGTCATATTTCACCAAAATATATCATTTTGCCCTGCAAAAGAGCAGCACCGCAGTTATCGTGAAACAGCATATTATTATTAACTTCGATAAATTAAGCCAAGTAAGATCTATAAATGATGCAAGTTATTAAATTTTATAAAGCACTTCCTTGTTGCTAAAAAATATCCTCATCAAGATTGATAGTAAATAGTTAATGTATCTGAATTTTCTAGGAAAAATGTGGTATTCAATAGTGAATCCAGGATTTGTTTAAGGAGGCGCATCAAGCAGGGGGTCTGGGTAAGAAAGTGAGTCTAGGGCAAAGCCTCAAATGGGGTCTGGGGTCAGGGGAAATAAAGAAAAAAGGTTAATGCAAAATGCTAATTTATCCATTTCACTCGATGTTGGATTTGTTCCAAATAGATTTTTCTCCAATAACCTATCAAAGATGAAGTGTGTATAATGTTAGCATCGATCATCTCATTAAGTTAGGAAATTATTATTAGAGTCAATTCAAAAACTAATGAAATACTTCCTTTTATAGTAGGATATATAAATAGTAGCTATTATAAATACTTAAACAAACTCTCAGTTTTATCCTTCCTGTTCATAGAAAAATAAGGAATAAGTAAGATGTGACATAAAAATAAACTTTAGATTCTCATTCTAATTTGCTTCAAAATTGGGGTGGATTTTATTTATTATTAGCTCACCTGAGCTGAAAGAACAAGTGAGCTTCTCTGATCATCCATTGTGTGGCATCCATCTTTTCATCTGTAAACTTTCCACATTTTCAATTTATTCTCAAGAACCATTGGGCCAATTTTAACCAAAGTTGACACAATGCATTCTTGGGTAAGAGGGATTCTCAATTGTTCAAATGAAAGGCCAAGCCCACCACAGGAAGAAACAAGATTTTTCAGTTAAAACTCAAAGGCGGCTTTCTGTGACTTTTCACTGTGGTCATCCAGTCACTGAATGGCAGGTACATTTCAGTGACCTTTCAGTTACCTTACAGCAAAAATTCAGGTACCTTTCAGTCACCATTCAGCGGACACTTTTCAGTTATCTTTTAGTGACCTTTCCGTTCCCTTTCCGTTGTCTTTTAGTCGCCTTTCAGTGCACCTTTCAGTTGTAGTTCAACAACTTTTCATCGGGTTTTCAATAGTTTATCAGTAATTATTCCTTAACAATTAAATAAATTATTCACATTTTTAAATGTGTTTCTGTTATTCTTACTGTGATACATGTAAGAATATTCAGTTGTGTTGAACTGGTGATTCATGGTTAGATGTTCAACTGTCTTTTAATTGTGTACTTAAGTGTTAAATTGTGATTATAGACTGTAAAACTTATGTCTAATATAATTTTATAAATATTAAAAATTACAATTCAACTGTGGACTCATAAAATTCAAAATGATTTTTGAATTTCTAATTTTTTGCATGAAAATCGATTTAGAAAATGAAAATTATTCAAATGATAAAAAAATAATGATCCAATATTCATGTTATATAATTTAATTGACTGACATAGAATTGTCTTCCTTTTTCTTTCTGTAAAATATCTAATTAAAATCAGTGATAAATATTTTCACAACCTTATTCAATTTAATAAGTTGTTAAATGAATAAACAATCAGTCAATTTTTTAAAAAAAATTGAGGATATCAGTCAATATGCTCTTTATAAACAAGAAAAGCTGTTATCTTATTTTTTTTTCATTATTCTTATGTCCATCTAACACTGTCTAATGTGGTTAGTTTTCATGGAAATATCTTGCAGTGAAAGAAGAGACAGAATTAATTATTTATGCCTCTTTTGGAAGAAACTTAATATTGTAAATTTTGGTTCTTAATTGTGAAAATCACATGATATTTCAGCTTTTAAAAGATTTTGTTTCAAAATTATTTTACATAATTTTCTAGATGGAGAATTTACAACATTCTTCATTCTCTGAGGTGAAGATTTATCTTGAATCACTGACAGTTGACTGACGCCGATAATTTTCATCATCCTGAAAAGAGATAAATAATCAATTAGCCTGCTCCCAAAATAAGCGCACAAGCTCCTCGATAAAACAGGTGAACTAGCTATAGGTGTCCCAATTTGATTTCTACAAATTTATTGACTTTAATCTCCCAATTTGTCATCAAGTGGCCGTGGCGCAATGTATAATGTTGCAGACTGTCAAGTGGGAGGACTCGGTTCGACCGCAGAGTCCTGTATGTTTTTTCTTTTAAGACTAACTTTTAATTTTTTTAATTCGAAAATAGATTAATTTAATATTATTATAATAGGAATTTGTTAGTTAAAAAATAAGCCGATTATAAAAAAAAAAAAGGATGAACTGAAAGGTAACTGAAAGTCCACTGAAATGTATCTGCCATTCAGTCAACTGAATGATAACTGAAAGATCAAGGGAAAGGATCTTTTCAGTGACCTTTCAGTGACCATTTAGTGGGCATTCAGTTTTCATTCTGTCGACTGAATGGTGTAATTTCATCCTGTGCACTTCCAAGGGGAGATAATCAAGAAAAGGCAAAAATAGTGTGGGGATAGGTGGGGCCACAGTAGGGGATCAAAGTTTTACATTGAAATATAAAAAAAAATATTTAAAAATCTTCTTCTTGAGAACCACTGGGTCAGAAAACATGAAACTTATGTAGAAGCTTTCTGTAGAGGTGTAGATTCTAAATTCTTCAAATCATGACCCCCCCTCCCCCCCCCCCCCCCCCAGGATTAGGATGGGGCTGCAATAGATAGTTTTCAGTAGGCCCAAATTAGGAAGAGTTATTTCCCATTGGCCACCATATTGGAGGTCAACATGCTCATATTCCTTCATTATTCAACCAACTTTAACTTTTTATACTGGCCATTGTGGGGTAGGAAGCATTGTTTTTCTGAAAAATATACATTTGTTAAAGCCTCCTTTATTTCATAATTTTTATTCTATAAAATTTTTTCCCCAAATATTTCTGATACACCCTCTTAGATTTGGTAAGACAAAGAGGAAAAATTACCAGGTTGACCACCAAGATGGCGGCCAAGGGAAAGAACTCATAGAGAAAATATGTCATATGAAAACTATCTACAGGGGCTCAAAGTTTTACATTGAAATACATGTACGTAAGAAAATAATCTTTAAAAATATTCTTCTCAAAAACCAATGGGTCAGAAAAGGTGAAACTTATGATAATGTGGAAGCTTCCTGTGGAAATGTATATTGTAAATTGTTCAAATCATGATCCCCCGGAATTACAATGGGCCACAATAAAGGATTGGTAGTTTTACATTAAAGTATATAAATCTTTAAAAATCTTCTAAGGAACCTTCGAACTAGAAAAGATGAAACATGTGAAAGCTTCCAGAGTGTAGATTGTGAATTATGGTGGGGCCACAATAAAGGATTATAGTTTAACATTGAAAAATGTAAGAAAAATCTTTTAAAGGGCATAGGGGTTCCTATAGGAATTAATGTGACTACTATGCGTCACCCTATACTATTGTCGGCCAATTACGTTTTTTCAGCTGATGATATATTGTCAAGAAATTTGGTTGCCCGACCATTGTCTTAAATTTGACCTAGG